GATAGATAGATAGATAGATAGATAGATATAGATATATAGATATATATTTATTTGTATTATATACAAAAACGAGCACAGTTTGAAAACATAAAATAAAATAAAACATACTCAACCAATAATGTTTTTTATTTATTTATTTATTTTTTTAGAAATATTGGTAATTCTTGCAAACTCTGATGTTAAATATGACGTAGTTGAAAATTTGGGTGCACCTAGGCCTGTCACAACAACAAATTTTACTGGACGATAAATTGTCTAAGAAATTATTGTGATACATGATAACATTGTTGGGAGACCAGTTTAAACTAATATAATAATATAACAACCCCTGGAAGCTAACATTATAATTTACATACAGTAAAAAGACAAAAAAAAAACAACTGTCAGCAATCCCAAGGCATCACCAGCTGTATGAAGGCATCAGAAAATTGGCCTGTTCACAGGCTTTCATGCTACAGAATTCAGTTCAATTCAGTTTATTTATATAGCACCAAGTGACAAACATACATTGTCTCAGGGCACTGTACATGAAAAAGAACAATCTAAAGAAGAAGCAAGAAGTAAGGAAACCACGTGCCTGGCAAATCCCTGACTCCTGAGTTCACTACTCTCTACACTAAGAAGTAGAAAAGAGGGAGACACGAAGAAACCAAACAAGCAAGCAAATGAAAATTATTGTCTTCATTTTAATTTATCTTCCTCAATTTAATTTATCATATGGTTAATTGATTTATTGTTTATTGTGAAAAGCCTAGGTGCACCTAGGAAAAAAGTTAGATGCAACGGAGCAACCACTGCAAAAAGTTAGTCTAGAGCCCTGTGAGGCATCCTATAATGGGCCTTTTCTATTTGCACATCATCACGTCTTCTGCAGCTCAACCAAAAGGAATCAGCACAAAACGGTGAATCATCCGAACCAATCCATTCATTAAATAACTTCTAGGCCAGTGACAGAGAGAGAGAGAGGGGCGAGTTGTGTTTTTGCCTTCCGGGTAAAGCACAGACCTGCAGCAGATTAGAAGTGATGCATCAGCATCACTGCTTTATGTGTAACCATTACATCACTCATCTGTAACGTTTTACAGACATTAATATTGAACAATCAACTTGTCTGATGTCTGGATGAACTAAAAATGGGATTTAAACTGGTTCAAACTGACCAGTCTGATTTTATTTATTCAAAAATGAAGTTTTTATGATTACAAAAGGTCTTGTAGAGGCTAAATGTCAAGATTAACTGAATTTTTGACAGGAAAATTAAAGCTCAATATTGGAGCCGGCAAAGACTCCCTGTATGTATGAATGACTCTGCTGCTGGGATCACATTTGCTCAAGAGGATAAACAAATGTGTTTCTGTAAAAACATAAAAACGATCATTTAGATGAAAGATTTTTGATCAAAGAAAAGGTTTATTTATGTCCTCTGCAATCAGGGTGCATGTAAATAAGAGAATCTGAGGATGAGTTTGAGCCACTGCTTCATTTTTGTGACTTATTTTAAACCACACCATCAAAGGATTTAGTGTATAAACCTCAGAAATATATCTAGTTGATATTTTATATCCATTAATGACATTTGCCTGAATTTTGTCAAATTGATTGAAGAAAAAGTAAAGTTTTTTTCATGAGCCATGAAACGGCTGTCATGTTGCTCTTATGCTTTTGGTCACAACTTGGTCTAAAATGTGGTAGAAAAGCTAAAAGAGGAGTTAGAGCTGTCTTAGAGCTGTCAGCACAAATACAAAGAAAATAAAGTGTGCTCAGCAGGTGACTGTGGCTTCAGAGGTCAGATAAAAAAAACCTCTCCAAGTAACACCTGCAAAAGTAACAAAAAAGTGACAAACACACACAGGTGACAGAGTAGCACACATGCACACTATGAGGGAGTGCAAACTAACACCTGATCAGCTTCAGTGAACAAAATAAAAGTCTCACCCTCGCACGTGTCGTCTCCCTCAGACATCAGCTCGTCGTCAGAGCAGATGTTCAGGACGTTCACCAGCATCTCAGTCACTGAGAAAACAACACAGCAGCAGGTCAGTGTGTGGTCAGTTACCAGAACCAACGGCGCAAACACACCAAAGTAGACTTGTGGCTCATACGACAAGTTATGAAAAGCGATCAAAGCGTTGTGTAAAGGTTGAGGGGGCTGCAATTAGGCAGAAAAAAGTTACCGGCAGGTCTTCATTAAATGTCTGCAGCTTCTTGGTCGAAACAGAAGAAATCAGTACGGTGATGCACTTCTACAGCCTCAGTGAGCCGTTGTCTTTGCTGCTGACTGAAGAGGGCATAATGAGACACGACTCGTCTCCTTCCCTTTATTTTATTCGGTGCTTTTGATAAGTTATGTGAAGTCAGTTTAACAGCTCAGAAAATCCAGTCAAGATACACAGGTGATCTCTCTGGGTCGATGCTGCCATGTTTTCTTTAAACATTTAGATGTTATTTTATTTAAAGAGGACACTTCATGCAAAATCCACTTTTTTATCCATTAAATCCAATGTCCAATCCAATCCAAATCCAATGTTTTCTAGTCACTAATTGTACGTTACAGTTGTTAGTGTTGATCTCTCATCTGACTTCTTGTTTTTGAGTTTTTACTATTTTGTTGATCATGTAATCAAAAGTGTTTGATTAATGTTACGATGTTCAGTTATAAGAAATGAAAATCGTTAGGATGTAATTTGGTAATTTCTTTGGTCTGTATGTCTAAATGACTGAATGTCTTCACTTTTTTTATAACAACTTGTATTTTGAATTATGTTTACTGAAATGTGAATCTTAAATGATATACTTTGTGACGTGTCGTGCGGACCTATTGACCAGGTCACCCTTGTAAAAGAGATCCTGATCTCAATGGGTTTTCCACCTGGTTAAATAAAGGTTACTGAATGATTGATTGATTGATTGATTGATTGATTGATTGAAATCCATTTTGTTGTATACTTTGAGTCTCTAGGAGCAGAGCATATCTATTTTTATCTTCTGTTTGGGTCATATTTCTTAACCTGGTCAGTTTTCTCTGTTCTCTATGACGTTTTCTGAACATTACATCACATTATGTGCAACAGAACTTCTAAATAAGGTATGGACCAATCAACTAAACAATTTAGTCGACTTCATTCTCCTCAGACTCTGGCTCCAACATGTAAGGCTGGACGGACAAGTTTTCTGTTGTTCACATCTTTTAACCAATTTGTGAAGGGAAATTTTCGGCACGGCTACATAATCGTATCTCTGCTGTCAAACTACAAAACTGGTCAAATGAGATGGGATGGACCGCTCTGCAGGCTGGAGGGGGCGGGGTGTGAAGTATCTCATTTGCATTTAAAGTGACCACAGAAAAACAATTTGCTCCCAGACACACCTCAGAAAAGAGGTGAATGGGGGCAATAAGGAGGATTATATGGGATAAATCTTGTGCCAGCAGGAACTGAATTTGAATTGCTCAGATTGAAGCTGAATGTGCATAATTTGAAATTGAATGCATTGGTTTGAATATTAATTTCATTAAATTGAAACTGAATTTAAAGTTTTAAATTTGAATTAATTTGCTTTAAAACTGTATTTCGGTTTATTAAAAATTCACTACTTTTAATTTCTGTTCCAAAATTCAGATTTTCGTGTCACACATCCTGGTCCTTGAGAAAGCCAGCCAGAATAATCAAACACAGATTTATTTAACAGATTTATGTTTCACTTTGGTGAAGTTTCCCTTCTGTAATGTAACAGAGTTAATGAAATCCACTGTAAAAGTGACAAAAACAGTTATTTTATTGCAGTGATTAATTTAACCTATATGTAGAAAATGTTACATTTACATCACATCATGGATCAGTCAGCAGCAGCATCTGATCAATATGTGATCCATGATGTGATGTAAATGTAACATTTTCTACATATAGGTTAAATTAATCACAGCAATAAAATAACTTTGTCTGTTTTTGTCACTTTTACAGTGGATTGCATCAACTCTGTTACATTACAGAAGGGAAACTTCACCAAAGTGAAACATAAATCTGTGGATCTGTGTTTGATTACTCTGGCTGGCTTTCTCAAGGACCAGGATGTGACACAAAAATCTGAATTTTGGAACCGAAATTGAAAGTAGTGAATTTTTAATAAACCGAAATACAGTTTCAAAGCAAATTAATTCAAATACAAAACTTTAAATTCAGTTTCAAACCAATGCATTAAATTTCAAATGATGCACATTCAGAATCAATTTGAACAATTCAAATTCAATTCCTGCTGGCACAAGATTTATCCCATAGATTTCAGACCCGAGCGTTAGAGTTCCATTTTAGACCCAAACTGAATGACTTCAATGCGAAAAGAAAAGGTTTAAAATCACGAGACAACCAAGACAAACCTTTTTCCCCAACGAAGGGCAGGGACCAGGTGAAGACGTCCATGAAGTTGGGCAGCCAGTAAGGGTGGGGGGAGCAGTTAAACTGCCGGATGTTCATCACATTGTTCTCATATTTCAGCACCGCAGCTGAGGACAAAAAACAAACGCACGTCAACATCTTCATGTCATGCAGCCAGTTGCTATGGTTTCCCTCCTTCCCTTCGCCTACCTTTATTATTGTACACATCTAGGTAGTTGGGAGCAGAGAAGATTGTAATTAAAGATGGGAAGCCTGTCGTTTGACTTTTCCTGTACATTCGATACCTGACAGACAAAAGAGGCACAGTCAGCACGTTTTTAAATGGAAGAAAAGTGATGGTGAATAAAAATATAATATGAGCACACCACAACATGCATGCAGATGTTTAAACATACTGAGGTAAAATCAAAGCTCTGACGAGTCCGCCATGTCTGAGACTCACCCTGCATCCTGGGCTTCATGTGCTCGTATTACAGACAACAGGTTATTGTTCATCAGGAAGTCACATACTGCTGGGTAACTGCAGGACAGAAACACATGACGGAGTCAGCAGACACGATTATTAGCGTCATGACAGCCAAACCCAACGCCCTCAATTACTTTAGTAAGTAAGAAAAACTGTTTTAATCCAGTGTTAAAAAAACAGCAAAACTATAAATTTATTAGGGTCAGGAATTTCATCAGGTTTTTGTTGTGTCTTTGTGTTTATGTGAACACTTTTTATGACATTTCACTCTTCACTTTCACTTTTTTCTACGATCACACACGTCAAACTGATTTTCTTTGAACTGCTGGAAAATTTAATTTGGCCAGTGAATTTTTAAATAATTGCATTTTTCATTTTAAAATCCTAAAAAGCAGAAAGAGTTAAAAATTTTCCAGCAGTTAATCCATAATCAAAGCAATTGTGAAATTAACTGGAGCTTCAATTCTGCTTCATTTTGTCAAGAGTTTATTTGACAAAGAAATATTTCTGTAGCTTTCCTCATTTTGGCACATATAAGCAAATATTTTATTTAGAAGTGTGCATTTATTTTATTGTTTCTTGTCTCACTAAAAGCACATTACCCAATTAACTTTGCATTTCAAGAGACCCTTAGAATTGTATACTTTTCCTCTAAAACACCAGTTAAGTCAAGGATATATCAATTTGTCAACTTAATGAAGCACATGCTGTAATACGTTATAAACAAAACTGTGAAGAATTTGAGCCATCCATTATTCTTCAGTATTTTACTGCTCAGCTTTGTTACTTTCTTAAAAAATAATTTTGACACATATTGGTTCTAGTTTTCTGAACGTCACTTAGGATTTTTCTTTGGACTTTGGTGGATTTTCAGTTTATTTTTAGTGAATTTTTATATCAGCGTATTTGAAGAAGTAATGTTTTGTTAGTTGAGGCACTTAACAACCAAAATGCACTGAAATAAATCAATACATCTTTTCCATCTCTTACACCACATTTAATTTAAAAATAAATAAACAGAATTGGACAAGTACAGTATATCCTAGTTTTGAGGACGAAACAAACTTGAGTAGTTTACACACCAACAAGGTCACTCTTAAAACTATTTACTAAAAAAAGCATTGGGTATACGGCAGAAATATCAACTGATGAATGAGTAGTTTACATTTTAGTTAAATTTGTTTTGCATTTGTTCCATTTTTCTCACACTTGTTGACTAGGCTAACACATTTTTAGAAAAAAACTCTTGGAGAATCACCTCATTGGTGATTATATATTTTATTCATGTCAAAATGTTATATTTGGATTTGTTGTTGGTCTTATTTTGGAAAATTAGGTCAAATTATCAATAGTTCTAAATTGTTGTTACATCATGTAGATTTTAGGAGCCTGACTAATACCTGATTGATTTATATATTAATAACCTGGTAAAAACCAGCCCTTTGCTCTACACTTTGCTTTGTACAGAGGGTATGAATTCTCTGCTATTGAGAAACAATCGCTTGCTGGAGGCGTGGGCATTTTGAATGACTGGATAGGATTTTACTCGATTGCTAACGTCTGGCCATAATTAACGAAGCCATATGGAAAATTTGACTTTTGCCAAACCCCGTTGGGAGTTGGGCCACGACATCTTTGCCAGCAATAAAATGTCTTAAAAGTTCTTCTTGCTCCGACTTTAACTGCTCAATATTTGGAAGCCTTGTCAACACAGACTAATGGCTTCATGCACTTCCTCTGCTGCCATTCATATATTACAGACAGATCACAATTCTAAAACAGTGTAGAAAATCAATGTCATCATTCACAACTCCTCCTTCTGTTTGCTGATTGGCCCAGTTGAAATTCTAGCAGAAAAATCCATGTCAATGGGAGAAAGCCCAGACTGAGCAGACAAGAGAGATTAGAATCGAGCAGAATTGCACAGGAAGGCAATGGCTAGGCTAATGTATCAGTATTTAGAGAGAAAAATGCATCTCTCTGAAAAAAGGTCAGATACAAAAACAAGACAGGAAAAATGTTTTACTTCCCCTTTTTTCTTTTTTGTTTGTTTTACAACTTTTCTTTTATGGTTTAGTTTATGTACACAGCAACAGTTGGAACCTAGAAGTTGAAAGCTATATAAACATCCCCTCCCAGGCTGTGTGTGGACTCAGACTTGCAGCCAAATCAAAGGACAAAAGGTTGTAATCACCAACACACCCAACAGAAACCCAACTGAGCCACTAAAACAAACCTTTAGGAGTCTGCAGCAGCGGCAGCTCTCCCCTGTGACCTCTGTGTGATGTCAATATGGCAAACTCAGTCCAAATATTAAGACAGAGAGGAGAACACTAATATTTATTTTCGCTATCTGTGACAGCGGATTTACCCAGCAGTCACTTATCCAAAGATAAGCCATTGTTTGTAAAAGCTTTAATCAGCTCAGATTAACAGAAGCCGCTGCCGTTTCTCTGGTTTCTGTTGCAGCAGCAAACCCTCGTACCTGTAGAAATAAGAGCAGCCTCGCACGCTGTTGTGGCAGAAATGTTCCTGGGTCTTTTCTGAGCCGTAGTCCTCTCCCGGATCTGACCAGAGCAGGTCGCACATCGGCCCGAACGCAGGAGGCTCCTTAAACCGGTCCAGCTGTACAGAAGCATGTCAACAACATGTCAAAAACCTTTTCAGCTTTTAGTTTATGATGAACAAGACGATGCAATTAAAAAGTAATAAGATGATTTTACAACTTTTTAACTAGTTTGGGAACAGGAATACACAAAAACATCACCGTCACAATCAGAGCTGAACTTGTGATAAACTTGTTAGAAACAAACTACTCTATGTTCTCAGATGAGTTGGATCTGTTCCAGATCTTGTTAAAATGGCATCAAGAATTTTTCACGAAAAATAAACAACTTTGTAGAGGCCATACTGTCACAATCAGAATCAAAATCTCAATAAAATGCCCAGCACCAGGAGCAGCTGATGTAATAAATAGTCATGTTGGAACACGCTGAACAAGTGTTCCTCACAGCTCCGTCATGATGCCTCAAAGATGGCTTACTGATCACAGCTCATATCATATATGCACAACTTTTATTTATCAAGCGTGCATCACCAAGTTTACAGCACAGACAAGTTACACAGTTCAAACATACCCAAGATATATATATATACACACATGTATATACAGTATACACATACATACATACATACATACATATATATATCCTGATCATGTAAAAACGTAGTTATTTTATTAGTTTTAAAAATAAATCTTAAAAAATATCTCAAATCTACCCAATGTTGCAATCATTGAATTGCACTGTTTACTCGATTTTAGAGTTGCTTCTGGTTGTGTGGGTTGGAGGGTGGGGTGGAGGTGGGTATGATTTTATGTTTGGAGAGTTGGGTGCGGTGGGGTGTTTTATGTATTTTTAATAGCAAAATGTTTTATTTTATTTTTCTGTTTTTTTCCCCTTTCTTATTTCTATTTTACTGTTGGATGTTGTTTTGTTTTTACTGTTTGATGGGACTACAGATGTAAGGTGCAATGCATCAAATTATGTTTTAATTGCACACTGTCCCAAACAAATAAAATCATTCATTCATTCATACAGTTTATACAAAAGATGCAGTTACAGCATATTTTAGTTAGAGTAATCCGTTAATCTATTGATTAACAAAGATCTCAGTGCAGATGCATTGAGTCGGCTTGTGATGTGAGCTGTACGTACATCTGTAGGCTGTTTAAAAATAAAGCTAGGGTTAGCAGAAAGAAACTAAAGGAAACATTGTTTTTCATGGAGGGATCTACTGTTCATGCAGGCTGAGGAGAACTTCTTGGAAATGTCAGCAGAAATCAGGAAGAATAGATTACAGAAAAGTTACTCTGTTTTATCCTTTTGGTCCTCCCACCTCTTTGTCATGGAACTCATTAGATTTGAAAACGACCTGTTGGAAAACTTCAGGCAAAAGGCAACTTTATTTACTCACACGGATGCTAGTGTTGGTGAAGCTAACTGAGCTAATTGTGTTATAGACACTAAAGGTGGTCAGGAGTTGAAAGGTCATTGCTGTAATTATATTGTGAGAGGAGCTAAAGTAGTCTGAGCAGAATGTGTTTAATTATTGATCATTAACAGCATGAAGGAAGATAATATGACACCACAATAAAACAAATTAATGACCTAACAATCTAACGGATCAATAATTAAACATAATGTTTAATTCATATGTTTAATTAAACATTATTATGTTTGATATCAACACACCAGTTGGTGGGCATCCACCTTAAGCACCGCAAGAGTTTTGCTTGTTTTCTCAAATATTACTGTGGCTTGTGTTAGATTTTAATCACAGTCTATTATTTATCCTATTTATGTTTTTATTATGTTTTGCAAAATAAAAAAAGTGAACCTTCCAGTTGGGTTCTATTCAGCTGTTCCCTTTTCAGGGGTCGCCACAGTGAGTCATCCTCTTCCATCTCCCTCTGTCCTCACGTTAACTACCTCCATGTCCTCTAACTGCATCTATTTATCTCCTCTTTGTCTTTTTCTGGCAGCTGCATCCTTCTACAAATATACCCACTTTCCCTCCTCTGCAAGTTTTAATCTCAATCCGGCCTCTTTAACTTTATGTCCCAGTCGTTAAACCTGCTGCACCTCTGATGACACCATTCCTACTCTTATCCAGCCTCATCACTCCCAAGGAGAATCTCAACATCTTCAGCTCTGCCACTTTCAGTTCTGTCTCCTGTCTTTTTCGTCAGAGCCGCCGTCTCCAAACCATACAACAAAGCTCTTGGTTTTTATGGTTTTACCTTTAAAAGGTTAATAGTTGTACTCTCCTTTGCTCATGCCAAGGACGTAACTTTGTGCTGAAAGTTGGTGGGGACGCACCATGGGGGACGGGGTCTGACGCACCCACAGTTGTGCGACCAGGGTTTTCTGTTGTTCATGTATTCAGTGTGTGCTCAGTTTAACTGTCTGCACTCGTCGATAACTGAACACCAAATGTTTCTGTTGTGATGCAATAATACTCAAACCATATATAATTGAGATTATGTTCACCTTCATTCAACCATGTACTGTAACAGCCCTTTAAACTCACTTAGAATACAGTTTGACAATCAGCCATAGTTTCATACAGAGACACACAGGCAGAGCACAGGTGTGTTGGTTTATCCTCTCACATAAGTCTTATAATATGTGTAAAGGACACACTGGAGTGGGGTCTGGGGGTCCTCCCCTAGAAAATTTGGAATCAATTAGAAGCAATTTCCTGATTTCTAATGTATTTTAACAGGTTGTTAAAGATACTTTTACCTACATAAATAAACACCTGATTTAATGACTGGAGACAGATTCTTCATTAAACTAGTTGCATCGTCCTGTTTTTAAATTCAGTTATAACTCAGATAATTAAAATAATGTGATAATTTATCCCAAACAAGCTTAGAGGAGGTTTTTACATTTATTCATAAGATCGATATGTGGATGTTTGGAACTGATTAGAAAGCTAACGATGTATGGATTGACAGATTTATTTACTGACCTTTATTTAACCGGGAAAATCCCAATTATGAAAACAAATTTCTACCACTTCCTACAAATAAAAGTTAAATAAGCCTATCACTTTTATACTGGTCAAAATACATTGTTAAGCATGCTATAGATTATGTCTTTAGATCAGTAATTTATTTCATTAAGTTCACACAGCTGACTAGAATGTACTCAAAATAACATTTTATATTTCCTTCACACCTGCCCATCACCTTCATCTCTTACCTGAGACTCTCTGTCCTACCTGAGACCCTCTGTCCTACCTGAGACACCCTGTCCTACCTGAGACCCTCTGTCCTACCTGAGACACCCTGTCCTACCTGAGACCCTCTGTCCTACCTGAGACACCCTGTCCTACCTGAGACCCTCTGTCCTACCTGAGACTCTCTGTCCTACCTGAGACCCTCTGTCCTACCTGAGACTCTCTGTCCTACCTGAGACACTCTGTTCTACCTGAGACACCCTGTCCTA